ACATTTCTGGGACGCATAATGAGGAAAGAGAGCTTAGAGAATTTGACACTTACAGGACATGTTGAAATCAAGAGAGACAGAGGGGAACAGCGAATATTCTACCTAACAGGCTTGTATAAATGGAAGGTAGAACAAGGAGGGGGAAAACATCATGAAAAGACGAAAATAGGAACTTGTGAAGAGCCATGATTGTCCACGTCTTGAGAAGATACGGCATATAGAAGAAGAAGAAGAAGAAGAAGAAGAAGAAGAAGAAGAAGGATTTTGAAGTTCATAATCCTTGATAGAATACAAGAAATGTGAGTGGGAGGTTTGATCAAATAGAATCGGCATTGGTGCTATAAAAAGAAAACTACAATACATATCAATTCGGCATTTAATCTCCTACGAAGTAAGACCCCATCTGAAGGCACACACTTTATCCAGCGTCATTTCCATTGATGGAAGCATTCCTGGAACTCCGTTTTGAAGGATAGTGAGCAAGTGCTTTGTCGCATTACGTGGATTTCCTCGACATCTTGAAATATTGTTCTTTTTAAGCTGAATTTGATTTTTGAAGAGGAAAAAGACATAAGGGGCAAGATCTGGGGAATATGGCATTTGTCAAAACTGGGGAATGTGGTACCTGGCCCGAAACTGCTCTCTAAGCCATCGTCACTGATGGAACCTCAGTCGTGTGTTGAGACGATCACACGCTATGGACTTACCCTCGAAGCACTGCGATAAACAGCGGAAGTGATCGCATTGTAATTTAGTGTGTATGCGTGACAAACTTCAAGGTCAGTCTGTGCCAAGCGGCTTCACCCTGCGTACTTTAGTTCCGTTACCATAGCATCAATCCCGATACTTTTGGTTAAACGTCATATATATATATATATATATATATATATATATATATATATATATATATATATATATTCGTGAATATACATAATATCCATTGTCGATAGCACTACTTGGAGTTTCATGCGGTTCTTGCAATCTTCAGGTACGGGAATTATTCTGAACATTATAGCGTTCGCTGATTCAAAACATTTTTTATATAATTATTGTTGCCTAAAATATTATAAGTAATTATTTCTAATTTATATCATTCAAATTCTTAAGTTCGAAAGGCGATTGATTAAAATTTATTTAAATCTAAAATTTAAATCCAAAAGTAAACAAGATAGGACAAGACAGGATAACTGCATTTTACATAAAATATCATAGTTATATCAATTATAATAGTACTCGTATATATATATATATATATATATATATATATATATATATATATATATATATATATTATGAAAATGAACAAAGTCCGAAAATTATTTTAAGACATTTTTATGTTTATACATTCTTTTTATTCGGGGACGAATATTTTCTGTGAAAATTTCTCGGACATTCAGGCCAGTAAATGTTGTTTAATACTGTTTATTATAAACAGAGCATTTACTTAAATATTTGTATCTATAAAAAGAATGTATAAACATAAAATGTCTTAATATATATATATATATATATATATATATAGGGGTGTAAATATAAAAATAATAGGTCAGGACTTGAAACCAACCAAGCCTTATACTTATAAAGGTGAAATTATAAAGGGTGTTCCAATAAATTGGATCGATTTTAAATGTGAATTAAGTTTAAGAGTCTAATGATTTTTTTTCTTTTTCTGGTGACGCAGTCGGTACTCATAAAGCTTAGACCAGAGACAACTCCATCTCGCTAATTCTTCTAACTCTAACCGCAAATCTGATTCTACCCGTGCTTTATCATTTGACGCTTATCATTTCGAAAGCGGCCGGCTTATATAAGCTTTTGAATGGAATTCCCTATTTTACGCCCGAGTGTCACTTGACCCCGAGTTTATTTACGTATTTAATTTCTTTTTTCCTACCGATGATTGTTACTTTGAAATTCTCACATTTCCATTTTACCGGTGACGCAGTTGGTAATTTAAACCTTCGACCAGAGAGAACTCCATCTTGTTATCTCATCTTACTCTAACCGCGAATCCGATTCTACCCGTGCCCGTACTAGACTCTTATCATTTAGAATGCGGTTTGCTTATATAAGCTTTTGATCGGAATTCCCTATCTTCCGCCCGAGTGTTACTTGATAACGAATTTATTTACCTATTTAATTTCTTTTTTTTTCTTTACAGTGGACTGTTACTTTGAATCTCACATCTACGTTTTACTGACAATGCACTCGGTAATGATAAATCTCCTGTTACTCCAAGTCTTGATAAAATTATTAACTGACTACTTTTCCTAGCCTATCGTCCGGGTAACACTCGTGACGCATATACTATTCACGAAAGATTTTGTAATATAATAAAACTTCTAATATATTACACATCACAGACCAGACCATCTTAACTTGCCTAAGTATATACAGTTCTAATATGATGTTAACATATCGGAAATAAGAAAACCGGGTTAGAAATCCAGTAAATTACACATAAATTCAGGATATTTCATTTCGCGCGCAAATGTCTATATCTGTCTGCTTGTGTGAAAGCGTCTGTAATGGTGAGAAATATAGGTAGTTTACTTATGTGAACGTGTGTGTTTGTAGGAGTGTAATAATACGTCGTTATATACGTGTATACATGTTTGTGTGTGTGCATGTACGTGGGTTTACGCGCGTGCCAGCCGGTAATTGACCTTCCTGTCGTAGGCTCAACTGAAAATGGTTGCATCCCATAATGACGACCGGATTTCCTATTCTAAAGTACTGCCAACTGAATTAGCGGCATCTTTATTAATTTTCACACTAGTAGTATCTAATCGACTTCTCTCCATTTTTTCTTTTTTTTTTTTTTTGGCGATGAAAGTGACAGTAAAAGACCTCTAAATCCACACTCCCTCCTCCAGTATTTGTGTCAATATCAATAATGTTACTGACTTAATTCATCTGATTTCTAATTATCCCCATCTTTATTTCAACATTCTTCGGGACTGTTCCAAGCTCTCCATTTATGATGGATGCTAACTTCTAACAGGTTTTCCTTGGGAAGGAAGAGTTTGAAAGAAACAAAGAAAATTTACGAAAGGTTTTATCACAAGTCCTGGGTATGACGATAAACTACATCCGCGTCACGAGTAAGACGATAAACTACGTCCAGCAGCAAGGCCTCTGATCAGGAGGTTTTAAGGCGCGTGGGACCACCTCTTAATTGCTGGTGTTTCCAGGTCCACCATGAACCGGGGTGGTATCACCTGTTAGGGTCCCAGCTAAAACTGGGATAAAAACACTATGAAGGTGTAAAAATAGGTTTTTATACCAGAAAAAACTTTGTAAAAATTATTATCAGTAATAAATTTTTGAAGAAAAAAAAAACAAAAAAACTATTACCAGCAATACATTTTTGAAAAAAAATATTACCAGCTATACATTTTTAAGGAAAAAATATTTCTTTTGTCCCCAAGGCGCAAGAGCTGCTCAAGAAAGAGGATCACTAAATGGGGATGTAATGGTTGCATTTTATGAGGATATGTAGGATAGCTAGCTGTTGACTCTCGACCAGATGTAGTTAAGTTTGGAACCACTCGGGAGTTCATTCCACAGTGCAACACTTCTTTGGAATAAACTGCCTGCGAAGAACTTCCTCCTTACCAATGGAATATAAAGGGGATGAGGATGAGTTGATTCAGTGTTGAACTGAATTTTTATGGGATCTTAATTCACCAACATAAACGACGTTCAAACAATCAGTTAAGATCCCTAATAAAAGACAGGCTTGGCGTACCATCAGGACATTTCTCCTTTTTCTTCTTCTTCTTCTTCTTCTTCTTCTTATTCTTCTTATTATTATTATTATTATTATTATTATTATTGCAAAAACACTTTCTCTCAAAATCCTTTTATCTGTTGTATTCTCCATGGAGGTGTTTTCTTTTTCCTTTTTAATTTTAGCCTTTGGGTTTCCCTTATCCAGCATATCCAGTTCCCTAGATTATCCTGACTACATCCTCTTCAGAGAGATAAGATCTCCACAAAAGTGGTCACCTACCAAATAAATGTTTATAGAATAGAGTTGAAGTGAAAAATCAGGAAAAAACTTTAGCAGAAACCGGAAACCCAATACTAAACAGGGAATGAAGAATAAAACTTTACTCCTGTTCAAAAAACCTGAAAGGAGTGTGATTCCGATGATAGGCGAACGTCTGTATTTCTATTGAAGAGGAAAAAATAAATAAATAATTAGTAAATAAAATTTCATAGTTCAGGACGTAGACGTTAGAAGTATAGAGTTGAAGAGAAAGAGAAGGAAAAGACATTAGAAGGGACCGGAAATCCAATCCTAAACAGGAAACAAGGGTTAAGCATCTACTCCTGTTAAAAAAAACGGAGAGGAGTGTGAACCGGGCGATAGGTAGTAATAGTATTAGTAGTAGCACACCTAAATGTTCGCGACATGGTGATAGGTTTTGATAAAAGCGGTGGATAAGCGTATAGGTAGAAAGAGTTAGGAAGAATAACCCAGTCTACTGAGGGTTTTCTACGTATCTAGATATGACACCTAACTTACCCAGGCTGCCTCATCATTCAAATATCAAAAATACCTCTCAAATGATCATGAATATGAACAGAGATGCACAGTGTGTCCGCTACTATGGGACATACCCAGATTATTATTATTATTATTATTCTCTAATTTCCCACCTCTACAAGTAAAATTGTTCATCTCATTTTCATTGGGGACGGACAACTCGGAAAGGTCACCATGCCATCTTCAACGAAACATTCGGTTTAACAAAGGTGGTATCGAAGTTAGTTGGCGTTTGACGAATTCTTCAGATGTCAGCGGCGGTGGCGAGTGTTTACGTGTCAATAAGCGATTCCATAAGCGGTGTAGAGAGTTGTCTTTGAGGGAACAATATTGGCACCTGTCAGAGAAGCAACGCCACTATTCCGTTTGGCTGTGAAGAAAATAAAGAGAAATTAAGTTAATGGGCTTATTGATTGCGCGATTCCATTCTTGCATCCCCAGAATGTTACTCTCGTGTATCCACAGAATATTCGGTCACGTAATTGAAAGAGAGGGTGAGAGACAGAAACAGAGAGGTAAAGAGAAAGAGAAAATGAGACAAAAAGAGAAAGAGAATTACGTGGGGGAAAGACATGCTATATTGAAGTAGATCAGAATGTAAAAGAGAAGGAGAAGAAATAGAGAGAGAGAGACAGAGAGAGAGAGAGAGGGGTACAGGATGAATTGGAAAAAGAGTAAAATATATGCTGATTAAGAGGTAAATAAGAGAGAGATACAGAGAGAGGGAGAGGAGAGAGGGAGAGGAGAGAGGGGAGGAATGAGAAAGTGATATAAGAGAATTGATCGGGGGCGTAAAAGTACATCTACTCAAATGAGAGTGTGAAAGAGAGTGATATTGATATGAAAAGAGTGTGGGAGGGACATGATAACATAGATGTAATCCAATGACAGAAAGATAGACAGGAGAGGAAGAGGAGGTAGAGAGAGATAGAGAGGAGAGGAAGAGGAGGTAGAGAGAGATAGAGAGGAGAGTAAGAGGAGGTAGAGAGAGATAGAGAGAGGAAGAGGAGGTAGAGAGATAGAGAGGAGAGGAAGAGGAGGTAGAGAGAGATAGAGAGGAGAGGAAGAGGAGGTAGAGAGAGATAGAGAGGAGAGGAAGAGGAGGTAGAGAGAGATAGAGAGGAGAGGAAGAGGAGGTAGAGAGAGATAGAGAGGAGAGCGGGGGATTAAACAGGTAGAACAGACTTGCGATGAGAAAGGAATGAGAGAATGAAAAAGAGTGATTCTGTAAATAGATGCTAACATAAAACCGAATCAGAGAAAAGAAGAATATATATTTATGTGTGTGTGTGTGTGTGTGTGTGTGTTTAAGACAATGGAAGACAGAGCAATAAAATAGATTCGGAGTATGAAGTGGAAAAAAGGAGATTGCCCGCGTATGTTTGCCAGCAGCAAATGTTGGACGATTTCCTCAAAGATGAAGAAGAGACTCGAGGCGAGGGAGATATGGTTCTACAGAAGGATGCTAAGGATATCTTGGACCGAGCGTGTGAGCAAAGATGAGGTCTTAGAGAGGATGTAAACAAGGAGGAGGCTTACACTTAATATCAGGAAGAGGCAGCTGAAGTTTCTGGGACATATAATGAGGAAGGATGGCCTGGAGAATCTGATACTCACGAGTCGAATAAAGAGAAAGAGAGACAAGGGAAAACAACGCGTGACATACCTGGCGGAGTTAAGCAAGTGGAAGACAGAACGTGGTCTGGATGGCAATTGGTCTAGGAGAAGGACAACTCTGAATTCAAAACCTTTGTTTGAGGACACATTGGCGCGTAGTGCACCAGCTCTTTGTATTCGGCCCTTCAAAAAGTGTGGTTGGTTCTGCAGAAAACTTCACCACTATAATCAAATCATATGTGCTGGTGTCTGGCTGTCAGTTCCTAG